TATAAACAAAGGTCTCCTTAACTTTTATTTCACAATACATGAGTTGATTGGAGGATATACACCTTTTTTCTTGTTTGAGGAGGAAAATCGTCGTGTATTTAGCATTTGCATAAAGACGACTTGGTTGTTTTTTCCAAAAACTTGCATCATTTAATGTAATTAAACATTTGCTTTGCTGTCAATACTCTTCAATTAAATGCGCCCTGGTGAGTACTAGCAGCATTTCGCTTATTTGCCTTGTCTGCATAGCACGGTGGTGCGAGTCGTTGCCTTTTAATAAGGTCTTTTGCAGTCATTTTGTGGGCTACATCCTAACGTCTTCTGTAGACCATCCATAGTCCGTAGACCACAAGTTGAGTAACATTACTCTGGACTTAAGAAACCGAATATTCTGTTAATCTTATTTCAGCACGTCCTCGCTTTGAACTTGAGCAGTGTGTTTTTATTGGGATCTTTAAAACCTTTATAAGGATGGATAAACTGGTATTTTCTGTGAGCTGGGAGTGTCTTGTTGTTCTCACCTTTCAGACAGATGAACTAAGGCATGGGGTAATTACGGCGACTCGCCCACATTTATGTCGTGTCAGCGGCAAGGCAGGGATCTCACCTGGGAATTCTGCTCTCCCTGAGGAGTACGGAGCCGATTGGGAGGGTTGGCTCTAACTTTGCAGAGCAACAAGCGTGTTGAATGACGTCAGTTAAACTTTTTGCAAATCAATTTAATTGCAAAGCCTTATTTTAGACCTGTAGGGTTTTTGCATGGTCCCGGCTGTATCAACGTGTGCTTTTGCTGCGCTCAGGAGCTGGGCTGAAGGGCTGGCACAGGAATCCACAGCTCTGTGTCTAAGCGGCGTTGGCTGTGAACCTGTAGATCACCGCGGGGCATCGTGAGCTTGTCCGTGCCCATTTTTTGGGCTGGACACGAGTCTGCTTGGCCCGGTGCTGTACACCCCGTTAGCATGGGCTGTGCCCGAGCTGGCGTACGCTGCTGGGAGCTGGCGGGCGCTGGGGCAGCCGGGCGTGCAGGCAGAGCTCCTCTGTGTGCTGGCAAGCCTGCAGCAACTTGCAGCGGCTTGTAGAGTGCTGTCGTGGTGTAAATTGGGGAGAACAGGTGATGGAGAAATGATTTTAGACAGTAAATGGCACATGAAGAGGAGGAACAGAGGAGCAGGGGGGTGGTGGTTTGTTGTGTGGAGTTGGCAGGGGGGAGGAGGGGGGAGTTTTTGAAGGCTGCGGCGGTGGGGCAGGATCCTGGGAGTCTCCCAGACAGGTGGAAATAAATGGGTGCAGGAGCCTCTGCGGGCTCTCGCCTCCTCCGCTGGTCCGTGTCGTAGCCCTGGTGCTGGGTTTGCCAGTAACCCCTGGCTTTCTCCTGCTCCTGATCAGAGGCTATAAATCTCCTCATACCTAGGGCTGTAATGGCTAACGCAGGTCTGCAGATAAAACAGGCTCTGATGGAGACTCCAACTGGGGGGGAAATACTTTTCCTGTGAGACAATGTCTGTTCCTCATCAAAATCAGTTGAGAAAAGTAGGAACCAAACAGTTCGATCTTAAAGATTTAAAGAGCCTGGCTGCACTGTTTCTCTTTTCTTTCCATTAATCTGCTCCTATTGTTTGTGTTCCTGTCTTAAAAATAATTAATGAAAGGCTGCGGATGAGGAGGCACCCCAGGATCTTCTGCTGGGGATAGGTGGCCAAGCAGCGTCCCGGCTGCACCCAGCTCGGAAGCAGCACCCGAACACCCCCAGCAAGGTGTTTTGCTCCCACTTTGCTCCCCAGTGGGAGCACCCACAGCCCAGCTGCCGGCTGGACACGGACCCTCCTCCTCCCCGGAGTGGTGCGGTGCTGGGCACGCTGCAGCAGCCCCTTTCTTTGCACATGGAGCGTAAAAAGGGGATCTAAGGCGACGGCATCTGTGGAGCTGCCCCCGTGGCTTTGGTGACCTCATTTGGCTCCAGCCCACAGCCCAGCTGCGGTGGAGAGCATCCAGGGCCATGGACTTGCGCTGAGATCTTGCTGCCGACCTGCTGCTCTGTGCTTTGCAGGTGTGGAAGTGCATGGGCAGCGCTTCGCCCGTTTGCAAGCACGTGTTTTTTACCCCTGGCTTTGCAAGGCTTCTTGTTGAGCCAGAGGTGCTATTTGCTGCCCTTCGTAAGGAAAAAAACCTTTTGCGGTCCTGCTTGCCTGCGGTTAGTGCGCACCGGCAGCACGGCATGGCTCGCAGGCGGTGTGCCTTGGTGCAGGACGGTTTTGTTGGCCCCTGTCATTTCACCCCGTGTCTCTGCATCCCTCTAGTAGAGAGTTAATTTTTTTTTTTTTTCTTTTTGCTGGTTGCACAGACAGAAGCAAAAAGCGTTTAAACTGTTTTAAAGCTTGACACTGTGCGGCTTTGCGCTTGGTGCTGAGTTTTAAAGCTGAATTTCTGAGCTGAAGAGTTTAAAGAAAAGAAAAATCATCCTGTTTCTTTTACTGTAGATAGCTGCCGTGGCATGGTGTGGGTCCACCTGCTGAGCTTCCAGGGAAGCAGTTGGCTTGCTGAAAGCTGCCAAGGGCTATGGGCCCCCCCAGCTTGGAGTATGTGTATATACATATGTGTGTGTGTGTTTGTATATATATATTTTTACATGTGATAATTAACTCTTAGGTGGCTGGAAGCCAAGATGTCCAAGTTTGAATCCACTCTTAGGGAAGTACCTTAAACTTCTGCAGATCCCAGTGAGCTTTTGGAGCCCTTGAGAGCATCGTGCACGTGTCCTCGGCAGCTGCAGGGAGGGTTTGCCCCGACAGAAGCACACGTGGGGAGCTGGGAGGGCAATGGTGTGTCCCCAGAGGGTGAGCGGAGAGGGTGTTGAACTGAGTGCTCCGAGCGTGGCCCCCGGCTTTGGGTGGGAATCGGTGATTAAAATCCTGTCCAGTCGGAAGCACGAGGGGAAGTGGGGTAGTCATACTGGAAGTGTAAATACGTGCCTCTGGGTGCCTCTGAATTCCCCCGTGTGTGCAGGGGCTTTCCTGCCCCGGGGCTGGATTGCACCGAGCGCGCTGAGCTCCTGCGTGGGGAGGCTGTGCCCGGGTTCGGGATGAGGGTTGGGCTGTGCCCGGGACCAGGGTGGCAGGTAAGGCACCCCGGGGCTGGGCGGGGATGTGTGGGTGCAGGGCCAGGGGGAATCCCGGCTCCTGTGCAGGGAGTGAGCCGAAAGCGGGAGGGGACCTGCTCGTCCCCCCTCTGCTGCCCTGAGAGCCAAACCTTGCTGTATGTTTTCCCATACGTAACTTGGCAAAATACCTTTTGCCAGAGAGGCTCGGCTGACCCTTGGAGCATGGAGATGTCTCTGCCTGTCTGTCATCCTTCGGCCTTAATGGGAATTTGCTGAAAAATACAATTTTTGTAAAACTTTTGCCTCTTTGTAAGGGGCCCTCCTTCGGCTGCTTTACTCCTGCCGTTGTTGCCGTGCCCAGCCTGCCGGGGACCGTTGCCTTGGTTTGATTTTATTTCTGGCTGGCGAGCAGCGCGTGGATGTCGGCAAACCGGCGAGGCGGTCCTGTGCCTGCCTGCAGCAGATAGCAAGCGGTGGTTTATCAGCACGGGCTGATCTGTGGTTGGTCTCGCAGGAGGGGGGGGGGGGAAAGAAAAACTTCCTCTTTTTTTTTTTTTTTTTCTTTTTTTTCCTTTCCCACCCTCTTTTCGTTTTTGTACATGCCAACTGCTGTTTCGGTTGAAATTGCGTTGGCTCGGGCTGGCTGTGCTCCCTGTGCAGCAGAGACCACGGGAGCGTGGGGAGATGCTGCCAAGGAGCTCACGGTGCTGGAAGCTCTCTCTGCTGCTCCCCGTGTGCTGATGAAAGATTTTGATACTGCTGAAAACCTTGCACAAATCTATACGTAATGTGTACCTCTGCCGGGGAGGAGGCCTGCGAGTGTGCTCAGCGTTGTGTGGGATGAAGAAGAGATCCTGGGGAGGAGGAGTTGGGAAGATGCGGCTCTCATTCCCAAGATTGGTCCTGGAAGCATCTTCCGAGCCCAGGCAGCGGTGGGAATTTATTAACCATTAATATGAGAATAATGGTTAATGCCTCTTCAACTGGCAGCGATGAAGGGCAGCGTTTAGACATTTGTTACTCTGTCCTTGAAATCCAGACAAAAAGCAGGAGGCTTAAAATCCTCAACAAACTACATGAAGTATCTATAAAAATCGGCAACTTGTAACTCTCCCGCTTTGTTGGTTTCCCTGACTTTGTTACAGCTGCAGAAGGAATTGCAACATGTGGTGAAGCATTGAATGTGTGGGTGACAGGGGTGTTTGTGAAAATACCCACGGTGTCTTCTCTGGTTCTTGGTCCCGATCAGAAAGGCTGATCTAACATTTACGTGCCACCGGAGTGCTTTAATCTTGCATTTTAGTGTAGCCCTTTGGATGGAGAGGGCTGCTGGGGAGGTCGATGCCCGGTGTCCCTCCTCGCATAGATCGGGGCTTACCTCAGGTGGCTGCAAAAATGGCCACGGCTCGGAAAGGAGGGCACCGAAAGAAGCGTTTGTGGAAGCCTGAAAGCATGGATGGGGAAAGAGATGGGCTGAGGAGGGACCTGGTGCCTCTGGACCTCGTGTTGAAGTGCCAAAACTCCAGCTTGTGTTTTTTGGGAACTAAGTCACCCCTCAAAAAAAAAAAAACAACCCATCTCCAGGAGACTTGGAGGTGTGGATCCACAGGGCCCAAATAAATTGCCAGCGGTTTGCAGGCCTGGTCCTGCTGGTGCTGGGGGGAGGCTTTCTGGGGCAGCCGGTTGGGATGGATTTGGGATAACCTTATATTTGGGCTTCCTTGTGATAGGAGTAATCTACAGCAAAAACTCGGCGGTGGTGTTTGCCAAGTGGAAAACGGGGCTGCTGGAGGATGGTGAGGGCAGTCGGGTTTTGGTGATGGCCCATGGCTTGATGTTGGGCTCTCTCGTGGGGCTGAGGTGGACTGACTTCTAACCTGCTGCTCTCCCGTTTGCTTTCAGTTGTTGCGTGACGTGGAAGGCACACACACGATGAAGAGAAGCTCTCGGCTCTCCTAATCCTTTGTCGGTGATTTGGAAGCAGCAACCGCCGCGCCTGCTCTTTCGACATGTCTGGATCTACGCAGCCCGTGACGCAGAGCTGGCGTGCTGCCGAGCCGCGCTACCCCCCGCACGCCATGTCCTATCCGGTTCAGATTGCTCGACCACATGCGGTAAGGCCAGAGACTTTCCTTCCCTACCCGCTCGCAGGGTAGGAGCTGCGTGGCGCGTCCCCTTCGCCGGGGCAGTGGTTCAGCTGCGCTGGTCTCGGATGTGGCTGCTAGAGAGAAATCAGACCGTTTCTGTGCCTGTGGTACGGGATTTCATCGTTCCTCTCTCGTGGGATCCTCTTTTCTTTCTCCATACGGTGCTTTCAGCTTTTCTCTCCCTGGCACTTGCTGTGGCAATGCTCGCGGGCGCTGGCTCATCACTTGCGAGCACCCGAGCCCGTTTGTCTTCCTGGCAAGAGCACCCATGGCTGGGTGCAGCAGCCAGCTTGGGGGGAGAGGGGAAGGTTGGCCATCCGCGTGGAGCAGGAGCACGTGGCCTCCAGCCCTCTTCAGCTTGGCCTTTCCTTGGCGCTGAATCACAAGGGAACGAGCATCCTCTCCGACGCGTGGGCTTACCGCTTCCCAGCGAGCCCGGTCCTTGCTCCTCGCACCCTCGGGAGAGCTCTCCCGATTTCCAGGCAGACTGCTGGGGGCGAACCTGCTGCCTGCCCCTCAGTCAGGAGAGCTGCCCCTCTCTACGTGGCGTTCCTGGCTGCTGGTGGCACTCCTGGGGAGCGAGAAGAAAACTGGGCTGCTGATTTTTTTTCTGTTTTATCCTTCCCCTCTTTTTCCCCCTCTTACCTTTGACCTGTAGTCTTGTCTCCTCTTGGATCAAGTCATAAGCTGGTGGTGATTTTTTTGTTGGCTGTGTTTTGTTGAATGCACCAGAGCTTGCACAGGTTAATTCACCCGGATTCAGCCTCTCCTTTCTGTGCCGAGTCACTCATGTCTGTGCTTGCTCATCCTGGATGGTTGAATGTTTTAGGTTTAAGCCCTTAACGGAAAAAACTCTGCTTAGTGGAACAGCTTTAGTCAGCTCAAGCTGCTTAAATGAATCTTGTTAGGTGCTGGAGTGTGACACAGGCTGGTGAGGCTGTTCTTTGGAGCTGCTTCTTGGTGGGTTACAGCGAGGTGGCCGCAGCCAGCAAGGTGCTCGTGACGCAAGTTAGCAAGGAGACCTTACCTCGGGGTTACGTTTCTGACAGTGGCGGGTCTCTGAATGGGTCAATTCTGTTCTGGAGA